GGGTTAAATAATATAGCTCTATAAATCACTCCTGTCTGCTTGCGTGAAAAGAAGGGTGTGCCCCCTTAGAGGCACAGAGCGCTATCATCTTGAGCCAGGCATTAAGGGCTCTGGAATAGGTGAGCCAGATATTTTTATTGTACCTTACATACTACACCAGAAGTCTACTGGTTTTCCCACTTCTTTTTCATTTCATATACCATATGAGGGGATTGTGTCACCTAGTACATTTCTGCCCATACGATCTGAGCCGGTCCTGGAACGCTCATTCCCATGTGAGTTGGACCATTGGACACCTACAGTCCACTTATGCCTCTGACGTTATTACACTATTATTCCCTTTTTTCCCTCCATTTTACAGCTTAATCCCTACAAAGGGAGGTGTATCCTATAGTACACCGTACACGCTCCACTTCTCCGGCTGGTGTATTGTACGCCTTGATTGATTGTTTGCCCTCATGTTTGGGGGGGAATAGGGGGATATCCAGCTGAGTGTAGTAGCGTGTGAACTTGTTATATTTTTATAACTGTACCTAAGCGCCTACATATATTTACACAGCACTTATTTATAGATTTTGGTAATTCATTGCATTGTGATTACACAAATAAACGTGAATTAAGATCAACACTGCGGAGCTGTAATTGCTTTTAATTACTACTATTCTCTTGTTTCTTGGTCATGAATAGTATTTATGCAATTAAAGAAAACATACTAAATTCTTAGTATACCCATTATACATCTTAGTCAGATACTGGGTTTCAACCACACCTTGTCAGAGTAGCATTATGCAACGTGTTATTGAATACTAATTAGAAAAAACCATCGCTAGACTCGCTTACAGTAAGTTACGTTACATAATCCCATGTATGAGGCAGAACTTGATTTTACGAGTTCAACCCTTAGTAGATCTGGAAGATAATTAATTATTGCCTCTTTCACTCTGAGTAATATCTGCTAATTAAATGCCACACTCCAGTTTTTACAGGCTTCATAAAATTAGTTTTTTTTGTTTTTTTTTAAAGGATTCACCATCACTACCTTTTGAAGTCTGGGGTTGTTAAACCAAAAAAAACCTTCTTTCTATCGTTGTGCTCTGCGTAGTTAGGGAGGTAGTTAATATCTACACATGCAAGTCATACCTTCTCTCTTGCGCAGGTTTTCCATCCGTCCACACCCATGTATGTACGTAGTGGGGAATTGCGATGCAGCCTAGAACATAAACTAACCCCATTCAACCCCCCAATAACGACAGACCACTTAGTATGGATGAAACAGGCCACAGCATTTATTATCACAAACTAAATTACTGCATAACACATCCATAACTTTATTTATTAAATCTCTTCTTTCTGTAACCAAATTGTTAGAAATAAATAATCATAAATTAACATATATACATATATAACTCCACACATAGTGTTATACAGTGACCCAAAATCATATCTTTCCAATGCCCGCCATCAGCCGACCTTATCCAAGCTCGATGGGCACGACACCTCAGGCAACCTAATGTTAACCGTTTGAAGCAGGGGAGGTTGAGACCTTAAAAACTTGTTCATCTCATTCCATACATTTAAACATAACCCCTCAAACTCAATTGGCAAGGACATACCACCGGCTAGCTGTGACGAAATATATACCAATAGGGCGGGCGGGAGGGAAGCTGTTTGCTGGCCCGAATCCCAAGTGGCACTGAGGTAAGACCACCCCCACACTAATTTACACAGAACATAATCCCACCCACACACTCTTTCCCAAGTCACTCCCATGCATCTATCCCCACACTCCTACATGTGCCCTTGTCCGCTTAGCTGCGCTATCTCCCCAGGGCCTCGGCAGCTTAGGGGTTAATTACTGTATGTGCAGTTTCATAGCGAGACGCTGCACATACAGACTCTAGGCACCATGACCACTTTAGATCAGGGAAGTGCTCATAGTGCTTGGCATAACCTTTAACAGAACATCTGGAACACAATCTGTGCATGAGCTTCCACCAGCACATTCCAACACCTACCATCCTCAGCCAGGACACAGATTACTAAGGCTGTGAGTAGGACATAGCTGAAGGGGTGACTGCAAAATAAACTAATGTGGATTATGGCCAACAGAGACCATCCAAGCTACAACATCTTATTAAACTGAGCTGCATTGGGAAGACTGAGAAACTGCTATGTTTGTGAATGGGTTAAGCCTTCCCCTATTTCCTCTAGTGGCTGTCTCATTGACAGCCACTAGAGGCGCTTGCGTGCTTCTCACTGTGATTTTCACAGTGAGAGCACGCAAGCGTCCATAGGAAAGCATTATGAATGCTTTCCTATGTGACCGGCTGAATGCGCGCGCAGCTCTTGCCGCGCGTGTGCATTCAGCCGACGGGGAGAAGAAGAGAAGGATCGGAGGCGGAGAGCTCCCCGCCCAGCACTGGAAAAATTTAAGTTTTTCCCCCTTTCCCCCTTCCAGAGCCGGGCGGGAGGGGGACCCTGAGGGTGGGGGCACTATAGTGCCAGGAAAACGAGTATGTTTTCCTGGCACTATAGTGGTCCTTTAAGGGGTTAAAGATGGTTAAATTAATACCTGGTGTGCACATGTTATGCTGAATGCGGAGTGTGGAAGATAGTTGACGTATTATTGTCAGGATTGCAAGTTGATCCAGCATGCAGAACTGTGTCACACCTAGGACTAAGGATAACTTATAACCGGACCTTAGAATGGCCGGACTTAACGTATCCAAGAATAGTCAAAATACTTGCAGAGGTCAGGGACACAGAATCAGACACAAAGATGAGGGAAAGCCAGAAGTCAAGGATACCAAAATTCAGGGAAGTCAAATATCAGAAAATCAATATCTGGAAACCACGACAGGGCAATGAGCAAAAGGAGAATTGGGTTTAAATACCCCTCCCGTGGATTTAATTGGCCATGACCAGCCTTTGACCCCAAAAGCAATTACCAGGTTTCCATGTACATGATTGCTGCTCGGCACAACTTTTTTTTAGGCCCATCCAGCCTCCCTACCTTTTGCTGGTTTACCGTGGGGATCTTCTTCCTGGGGTCCAGTGTGAGGCTGTGCTAAAATCTTGCAGTTCATGATTATTCCTGCACGCTGTTTGGTACGTCGGGCCAGAATGATGTCATATTTTGGCTCCCAGCATCACAGAGTGAGAGCAAGATAGCCTCACCTTCAGGCGTCTGGACGTGGGGCACCCTGTGCAACCGACCAAGATCGGTCCTGATATTGAGTGATAGGGGAGCAATAGAGATAAAAACAGGAGGAGCTGTCTGTCTATCTATCCATCCATCCATCCATCCATCTAACATCATATTATATCCTGTTCATATGATATTATCATATTATGTCCTATTTTTGTGCCTTTTTAGTTTGTTCTGATTCGGTTTCCAAAATAGCATTCAGCTGAGCCGAATTGTCATCTGTTCTTATTTCGGTTGTCCCTCAAACATTTCTGTCTGGAAAAACAGATTTTTCAGACCTGAAATTTCTAACCGTGCACAATGTGTACTGATCAGCAGTCATGGGATACACTATCTCAGTTATAAAATTATTTATGTTTAATCATCATTCATTAGCATTTTATCGTATATACAAAACTGGTCTGATCACAGGTTGCAGCAGATTCAGGTTTCAACACAATATTTACTCAAACTTAGGAAGAACTGAATTAACCCCATTCGGGTCTGAATTCAGATGTTAAGAATTTGCTTTTGTTCATATAATTTACAAAACAATTCAATTACAATGTGAGTATTGTTTAGGCTTTGTTTGGCAAAGCTGAAGGTAATGAAAAATAAGTAAAATAATGTTTTGCATGCGCGATGTGGGTAAGTACATTAACCTGCACGGAATTGACGGGATCCGTATAGTCTCCCACTTTGTATGTATCTAAGGATGTTCTGATAAGCAAACTAAGGCAGGCTGAATTATTCTACAATCAAATTATCCATTCTGGCTGTCTCTAGAATATATCGTTCACACTGATATCAGCCCTTGTTATGCACCTTTGCTAGTGTGAACATGTCCTGCTGCATTGTGCTATAAGAGGTTCTGTAAGGGATTGCCTCTGAGAACGAGCATTCGACAGTTGTCCTTCGTAGATTGGAAGATGGTTTGGTCAAGGACCTTTTCACTTACTGCTCCAGTTTGTCAAACATGTTTTGTTTGAATTAATTGTTTATCTTATTTTACTTATTGTACAGTGCTGCAGAATATGTTGACGCTATATAAATAATATATAATATAAATAATTTAGGTATTCGGGGAGCAGTCACAGCATGCCACTGGGGCTCCAGACAACTGTCGACACAGTCACTATAGCAGCTCTGGATAGATATATACAGAATGAGGATACAGCTGTGGATCTACAAAAAACGAAATAAAACAATTGTGCAATACTGTATAAAAAAGTATAAGTGCGCTGTGTAGAAAATAACTCACAGGATTGAAGAATGATTAGCGCCCAAGGGTGCCTCCCCTGATGCGTAGATTATATTCAACTGCTTCTATGCCCAATTGGTGTTTAATAATAGTATGTCCTTGCCAATAGACAGAGGACGACCTACATGAACCCAGATGAAGGAAGAAGGGAGCAGAGGGCGCCAGGAAGCACCACTACCCTGGCCCACAAGCTACCATACAATGCCTTCAAAGACTTCAAGGAAGCAGAAGACGGCATCAATGACTTTTTACAACACTTACTACTCCAAGACGTGGACCCCAGCGACTGGGTCACCATCCAGGCCAGCAAACTAGTGGGGAAGGCAGCGAATATTTATTGGGCTGTACCAGAAGAGCAGATCAGAGACTATCCCTTTATTACTCAAATCCTCCTGGCCCGGTATGCTCTCACCCCCGAGCAATACCGCCGAAAGTTTAGGGAGACCCGGAAAGGGGAGAAGGACTCCCATGCGGAGTGGTCATGCCGCATCACAAGGGCCACCCAGAACTGGCTCAACTCTCATCAAGCCAAGTTCCCGGAGGAGATCACACAGCTCGTCATGCTAGAGCACTTTTTCAATGGGCTCCCCAACGACAATGCAACAACGCATTCGTATGTCATCCATATCAATCTTCGATGCCATTTACCCCACCTACCATGGTGACCACGGGTAACGGGGAATCAGGGTTCGATTTCGGAGAGAGAGCCTGAGAAACGGCTACCACATGCAAGGAAGGCAGCAGGTGCGCAAATGACCCACTCAGACAGGTGAGCAACAGGGTGAGAACGCCGAAAGCGCACACAGCCACTACAGTGAATGTCACATTCAGTTCCAAGTTGCGGTTCAGTCTGGTGATGGCTTCTTTTATCCAGTACTCTTTTTACTGAAGCTGCATCAGGATCCTGGTATGTGGCCTCACAAACGCTGGTGCTCAACACCAGGGGGCGTGCGGTTACCCTGCACCAGACCCTGCTAATCCATTCCACACTATGACTCCTAACTTCAACATCAGGCATACTGGGTCCAGGTCGTCCGACCGCCGCCCTGACAGTGTCTGGGTCCCGGTCACCGGACTGCAAAACTGTGAATGGCTTGTTAAATCTGTTATGGTTCCTTTTATCGCTCCATCTGTTACTTGGATAACTGTGGGAATTCAGATATGAAGTGCACCGCAGGCCGCAAATGTACTATTAACATACATGCCGACGAGCGCTATGGGACGGCCTCCCTGCTTTTGCACCCTGCTCCCTCTTATGCTGTGCTGGTGCCTCTGTGCGACCAGCGCCTCTTCCTCCAAACTGCACACGTCACTCTCATGACCTTCATTCCATGTGGGATCTAGGACATCATCCTCCTCCACATCATCTTCCACCCACTCCTCAACCCTGCCCTCCTTGCCGGTCTGCACACTGCAGAAAGCCACAGCAGTTGGCACCTGTGTTTTTCCAGCATGTAAAGTCTGCAAAGGACATATGGAAATTGTTTTCGAATTGTATCTAGGCAACAGTTTTCCCTATAAACTGACCTCTCAGTTTGACTTATGAGGGTATTGCCCCCGAATTACGGTTCTATTTGACTGTCAGATCTGAAGTGCAGGCCGCAAATGAACTATTTAGCACCCAAACAAATTTCAATTGGTCAAACTGCGCTGTAACCACAGTATTTGACGGTTCTGTTTGACTGTCAGATATGAAGTGCAGTCATCAAATTGACTTTTTAGCACCTAAAGAATTAGAATTTTTACAACTGCAACGTAAGCACAATATTTGACGGCTCTATTTGACTCTCAGACATGAAGTGCACCACAGGCCGCAAATGTACTATTTAACAGCTAAAATATGTGAATGTATAAAAATGCTATGTCACAGCAATATTTGACGGTTCTATTTGACTCTCAGATATGAAGAGCATGCCCCAAATTTACTATTTAGGAGCAAAAAAATAGGAATTTGTCAAAGTGCACTGTAAATGCAGTATTTGACGCTTCTATTTGACTCTCAGATATGAAAAGCACGCCCCACAGTTACTATTTAGCAGATTAGCACCAAAACAATTAGAATTTTTACAAGTGCGCTGTAACCGCAGTAATTTACGCTTATATTTGACTCTCAGATATGAAGATCACGCCCCACATTTACTATTTAGCAGATTAGCACCCAGAAAATAAGAATGTTTACAATTGCGCTGTAACCGCACTATTTTACGCTTCTATTTTTAACTCTCAGATATGAAGTGCACCCCACTAATGTACTTGTTAGCATCCAAAAAAATTTAAGTTTTAAAACTGCAATGTGACACCAGTATTTGATGCTTCTATTCGACTCTCAGATATGAAGAGCACACCCCAAATTTACCATTTAGCAGATTAGCACCCAGAAAATACAAATGTTTCAAACTGCGCTGTAAGCACAGTATTTGATGCTTCTATTTGACTCTCAGATATGAAGTGCAGGCCCCAAATTTACTATTTAGCAGATTAGCACCCAGAAAATAAGAATGTTTACCATTGCACTGTAACCGCTGTATTTGATGCTTTTATTTGACGCTCAGATATGAAGAGCTCGCCCCAAATTTACTATTTAGCAGATTAGCACCCAGAAAATAAGAATGTTTACAATTGCGCTGTAACCGCAATATTTGACGCTTCTATTTGACGCTCAGATATGAAGTGCAGGCCCCAAATTTACTATTTAGCAGATTAGCACCCAGAAAATAAGAATGTTCACAATTGCGCTGTAACCACAGTATTTGACGCTTCTATTTGACTCTCAGATATGAAGTGCGCCCCACTAATATACTTTTTAGCACCCAAATAATTTTAAGTTCTAAAACTGCAATGTGACAGCAGTATTTGACATTTATATTTGACTCTCAGATATGAAGTGCACCCCACTAATGTACTATTTATTACCCAAAAAATTAACTTTTTAAAACTCTGATGTAACAGCAGTATTTGAAGCTTCTATTTGATGTTCAGATATGAAGTGCAGGCCCCAAATTTACTATTTAGCAGATTAGCACCCAGAAAATAAGAATGTTCACAATTGCGCTGTAACCGCAGTATTTGACGCTTCTATTTGACTCTCATATATGAAGTGCACCCCACCCCACTAATGTATTAGTTCCTTTCCTAATCTGTCCCTATCAGCGGCAGCTTCCTCTCCTTACACTAATAAGAGCTCATGTGCGTGCGGTGCTACGCGACTCCAGCTTATATATAGGGGCTGGGTCACATGCAGCACTGGCCAATCACAGCCATGCCATTAGCAGCTATGATGGCTTCTAAGGGCACACGAGTCAAACGCTTGTTGATTGGCTGCCCTGCAGCCTTTCGAAACGCGCCATTAAATCGCCGAACACCGAACTCCAACCCGAACATACAGTGAAATGTCCGTGTTCGGGTCCGGGGTCCGAAAACCATAATGTTCGGTACAAACCCAAACTTTGCGGTTCCGGTTTGCTCAACTCTATTGTCAATGCATCATGGGAAATGTAGTCCACAGCATTTAAAGTGCACCTCTGCTTTAGGAATAAACCTTTGTATTCCTGACACTATAGAGTCCCTTTAGCAAAAACATACATTTCAAAGGGATATTTATAATTAACATGGATTAATATCCATATCATAAATGTTATTGTCCTCAAATCTGTAAACTGAGATTGAGATGAAGGGGAGATTCAGTTAATATATTTATTTATTGACAGGAGGATAATACCAAGATATTTGGGCAGCCTCAGGGTTTTTGAATAAAGGGACACACCATTGCCCAAATACAAATTAAAAAACACTATTCAGTCGTTATATCCCAAATAAAAACATGCATGCATTTAATTATGCATTTTCATTGGGGGTATATCTATAAACAATTTGCAAATGTTACAGTTCTCCTATCTGCAGCCATTGCAAGCCCTCCCCTTCTAACCCCGCCCAGACTTTCTGTAGCCGTCCAATCACAGGCTTCCCAATGCAGCTCAATGAGAAGTATTTGCATGGCAGGTGCTCTGGGCAATTGCTGCCTCTTGAGTTTATCTCCACTGAGCTAACCAAACCAGGAAGTAACAGGACTGTGTCTGACTGACAACCAGGTGAGTGCACCAAGGATAATTTATAACAGTGCCAATTTCTATTGAAATCTGCACTTTTTGTAATATAAAAAAAAAGGGAACACTCTTCAAACTTAAGTTACTGGACCAAAGGGCCGTTACGATCCAGGAAATGCCTCCAGTGGCTGTCTGGTAGGTAGCTACTGGAGGAAGACTGTAAAGGATCCTTCTATTCGTGTAGCGATGATCCTTGCAGCTTCTCACGAAATCCAGCTGAAACGAAGTGATTATAACTCCCAATGATGAACATCTAAAAACACATGGATTTCAAGATCAGAGACAACATGGGTTTACTTCAGGGAGATCATGCCAAACTAATCTTATTGATTTTTTTGATTGGGTAACTAAAATTATAGATCAGGGTGGTGCAGTAGACATTGCTTACCTAGATTTCAGTAAGGCTTTTGACACTGTTGCACATAGAAGGCTTATCAATAAACTGCAATCTTTAAGTTTGGATTCCAATATTGTTGAATGGGTAAGGCAGTGGCTGAGTGACAGGCAACAGAGGGTTGTAGTTAATGGAATATATTCGAAGCTTGGACTTGTCACCAGTGGGGTACCTCAGGGATCTGTACTTGGACCCATTCTCTTTAATATTTTTATTAGTGATATTGCAGAAGGTCTTGATGGTAAGGTATGTCTTTTTGCTGATGATACTAAGATATGTAACAGGGTTGATGTTCCAGGAGGGATAAGCCAAATGACAAATGATTTAGGTAAACTAGAAAAATGGTCAGAATTGTGGCAACTGACATTTAATGTGGATAAGTGCAAGATAATGCATCTTGGACGTAAAAACCCAAGGGCAGAGTACAGAATATTTGATAGAGTTCTAACCTCAACATATGAGGAAAGGGATTTAGGGGTGATTATTTCTGATGACTTAAAGGTAGGCAGACAATGTAATAGAGCAGCAGGAAATGCTAGCAGAATGCTTGGTTGTATAGGGAGAGGTATTAGCAGTAGAAAGAGGGAAGTGCTCATGCCATTGTACAGAACACTGGTGAGACCTCACTTGGAGTATTGTACACAGTACTGGAGACCGTATCTTCAGAAGGATATTGATACCTTAGAGAGGGTTCAGAGAAGGGCTACTAAACTGGTTCATGGATTGCGGGATAAAACTTACCAGGAAAGGTTAAAGGATCTTAACATGTATAGCTTGGAGGAAAGACGAGACAGGGGGGATATGATAGAAACATTTAAATATATAAAGGGAATCAACACAGTAAAGGAGGAGACTATATTTAAAAGAAGAAAAACTACCACAACAAGAGGACATAGTCTTAAATTAGAGGGACAAAGGTTTAAAAATAATATCAGGAAGTATTACTTTACTGAGAGGGTAGTGGATGCATGGAATAGCCTTCCAGCTGAAGTGGTAGAGGTTAACACAGTAAAGGAGTTTAAGCATGCGTGGGATAGGCATAAGGCTATCCTAACTATAAGATAAGGCCTAGGGACTAATGAAAGTATTTAGAAAATTGGGCAGACTAGATGGGCCGAATGGTTCTTATCTGCCGTCACATTCTATGTTTCTATGTTTCTATGTTTCTAATCCCCCAAACATGAGTCGAGACTTCATGAAGCGGTAAAACGATCTGATTTACTGTGGGCTACCTGCCCGGTAT